GGGGGCTGGTCGGGGAGGTGGGCTGGTTCCCCCGGGCAGCACCCGTGAGGGGACGGATAGCTTGTGTATCAGGGGCCCAAATCCGGTATCTCGGGTCTGTGTGAGGGTGCTTTGGTTAGCAGCAGGTACCCGTGCAGCTTCTGTAATCCCTCATTAACAGGTCTAGTGAGAGAGTTATGGTTGAGCCCTGTGTATTTTGTTCTCGTGTGTTGTTAAACTATTACGGGATTTTTCTTTTTAAAAGAATAAAAAGACGTTTGAGTCAGGGCTTTGGGTTTCTACTTCCAACTTCTAGCTCTTGACTAATGCTTTACTCAAGTCTCAGCGTTCAAGGGCCTCCAGATGTATTCATGGCTTGTGTTAGTCTTAACGCTGTGGATAAAAAGAGGGAAAACTTATCACTGTGATAGTTTTTAATACTTGTGAAGAATGATAAAACTTCTTCAGAGATGATTGGATTGTGACTAGTCAAGTTACCTACTTTAGAATTTATTTGCAGTGTTTTGTGTGTACTCTTACAGCTGTTGACTCAGCCCTGTGAGGATGTTTTCTGTTTTTATTCTTCTCCCAGACTTCCTTCCTCTGGAATGTGATGCGTGTGGGGGAGTCTTCTGTAAAGATCACATCCGTTATGATGACCACAAGTGTAGCTCTGCCTACAAGAAAGTAAGTTCCTGTATATGAGTCGGTAATTCACACAGCAGAATTGCTAGGTCGTGTATAAAGGCAGCTCTGCCTGACCTGTGGTTTCAATAAAGTGGTTGGGAGAACCATAAGATGCAAGTTAATGACACAATTGAATTTCAGATATGTAGAAATGTAACACTTCAGAGGTCAATACTTCTGGATTCTGGTTTCTTCGACTTATACCACATCTCCCCTGAGAGGAGTGCTTTATACTTCAAGTAATGTATTATGGCCTAAAACTTTCTGTGGTCCCAGTCCTTTAAGCTGAAGGACAGCAAACATGACACTGCAGAAGAAATAAATAGAATAAATGGGGCCAAACTTTGATTTCTGGCCCATAGTGTGGCTTTGAAGTATTCAGAAGCTGCAGTTCCAGAGAGCCTAGAACCGTATTTAAAGTCAACTTAAAAACATGTTGCTACACACTGATTTGGCAAAGCGTGTCTGACTGTTTTGAACAATGATTTGCAGTTATCTTTGTGAAGTATAGCTTTAAAAGCAGTAGTAAATGAGTAGAATATAAACTGCTTATGAATATGCTTCTGTCACCCATTGGTAAGAGAAGGGAAAGGACAGAGAAAACAGTCGAGTTGACTTCTAATCTGTGTTGTATATTCTTAGAACGTGCAGGTTCCAGTGTGTCCACTCTGTAACACCCCTATCCCAGTACAGAAGGGGGAAGTACCAGATATTGTGGTTGGAGCCCACATGGATCAGGATTGCAAATACAATCCAGCCCAGCAAAAGCAGAGGGTAAGGAAACTGCTGTTGAAGTCTAAACTGCCTGCTTAACGCTTGTGAAGTTAAGTCTTCTGACAGCAGAATGTGTAGAAGTTTGCTCTGTTTGATCTTACTTGCAAGGATGCTGGAGCATTTGTGTGTCAGCTTGGTCATCACCTGGGAAGCTGATCACAGCAAGCAGGTGTTGCCAACTTCATGTCCTCTGTTATTTAGATCTTCACAAACAAGTGCTTAAAGCCAGGCTGCAAAAGGAAAGAGATGATGAAATTAGTCTGTGAACAGTGCAGTGGCAACTTCTGCATAAAACATCAGCATCCTCTGGATCATGACTGTAAAGGGAGCAGCCACCCCACCTCCAAGGCAGGGTAAGCTGTGTTTGTGATACTTGAGCTGATGCTACTGAGCTAGTATTGGGGGGTTGGTGAGGTGGTCAGAAATAGGGAAATCTGTAAACTAATGGTTATGTCAATAAAATACTATTTCTTTTTTGAGAAATAGGGAAATCTGTAAACTAATAGTTATGTCAATAAAATACTTACTATTTCTTCTTTATATCTTAGGCTTAACTTCTGAAAGTCTGTGAGCTAAGATAAAAGCTTGCCAAATGCTTTTGTAAAATTCTTCCAAGTTTACCTTTGTCAGTCTCTCCTAAATAAGAACAGGCATGGCCAGCTTGAGTAACCTTTGGGGTCTGGATCTAAATACCAGAATCCTAAAGTTCTGCCCAGCACCTTGAAGTAAACAAGAACAATCAATACCCTGCCATGCCAAGTTTAAACTTTGTTTTTAATAAAAATCTGCCTCTTGCAGGCAGATGTACCTTCATTGTTCTGTGCAATAGGACTGGAAGACTTGTGTGACAGATCCAGACAATTGCACTGGATGGAAGAGTGAAAATGCTGGCGGTGTGTGTAAGTCTGGCTGTATTTCTTCCTAGATATGCAGCTCTGAGAACCTCTCAAACGTGTATTTCTTCCTAGATATGCAGCTCCGACGAGAACCTCTCAAACAGCCTTCAAGTCAAAGGGATCGATTGGAGTGCCACCTAATGGGAGTCTTCAGCACAACAGGTACGAGCTGTAGAAGGAGAGAGACAAGCAGTTTAAAAATAGTCTTGTGTCAACATGGTGTAGGAGTGCCACAATCATACCTCTGACTGCTCTGGAGTTGATAGTTGACCTTTAATTGGTGTTGGGAACGCAGTAGAGGTGTTCTGACAACACAAGCAAATCTTTACTTCTCCATACTGTAGTGATTAATAGCTATATAGGCACAAGCATTAGGACATCCAATTGTGGTAACAGCAGGCTGGTCTCCCACCTGCTCAGTGTGAGACTTGGTCAAGTTTTGTTTAAAAATAAAAAAGCCTGTCCTCAGAATGCTGAGGCAAGCATCTGAATTAAAATGAACATCCCAAGCCCTTCCCTGCCATGTTGTATCTCCCTGTGACCAAAAGTTTTAGATTAACTCTTACAGTGCATTCTTGTCTTTCAGATGCAGATAATAGAGGCTCTTCACATCTGGATCCAACTTCTCTAGAGTTGAGTTCATCTTGTATATAGCTCTTGGAAATTTTTCTATGCAATTAATTTTATTTTTGTTGTATAATGTTTTGTGTTCAATAAACTGTCACCCTTTCCAAACCAGTGTTATTTGTTTCTGTATTTGGAATAAGAGCTCTAATGCTATGACACTAGGGAATGGTGATAGGTGTAGAGGAATTTTTAAGTAACCATGGTGGCGAAGTGCTAGTGCAGACCTGTGTGTGCAACCCAGGCCATGTGAAGGATAAGATGTCCTTGAGCAGGTGAAAGAAGGAAGAGATAGATTGAGTAAAAAGAAAAAGCTGTGGAGCAGAATGCCTAAAGTGCCAGGGGGAAGAGTGGTGCCGTGTGTTTGAAGTGATGTAGCTAATTAGGAGAAAAGGTAGAGCATGTGGACAAAACGATGTAACCAATCATTTAGAGGGTGGTGGTGCATGGCACTTTGTAACTCAATAAATACCCAGGTGAAGAAATAAAGTTAGAGCATTGAGCATTGCCTCTGTGAGGATGTCTCTTTGACTCTGTGCCCAACCTCCCGGAACCGACTGACTCACTGCATCGCAACAGATAGGAAGAGGACTAAAATTAGTATGAAACACAGCCAGCTTTGCTGAGGTTGTGTTAAGTCTGAACCATGAGTCTCCTAAGACAATAGCTTGTATTTCAGAGTTTGATCTTATGTCCTGGTGATTTTGGAAGTGAATGAGCGCATAATGAATCATAGAATGGTTTGGGTTGGGAGGGACCTAAAAGACCATTTAGTTCCAACCCCCCTGCCATGGGCAGGGACACTTTCCACTAGGTTAGGTTGCTCAAAGCCTCATTCCACCTTGT